AAAATATATTTTTTTGATTTTTTTTTTTTTGCAGAGAGGAAGGGAGAGGAAAGAGAGTTAGAAACATCGATCAGCTGCCTCCTGCACACCCCCCACTGGGGATGTGCCCGCAACCAAGGTTCATGCCCTTGACCAGAATCGAACCTGGGACCCTTGAGTCCGCAGGCCGACGCTCTATCCACTGAGCCAAACCGGTTAGGGCAAAACTGAACATTTTAAAGTGAACAACCCTCCCAGCCAGTGTGGCTCAGTGGTTGAGTGTCGACCTATGAACCAGGAGGTCACGGTTTGATTCCCGGTCAGGGCACATGCCCGGGCTGTGGGCTCCATCCCCTGTGGGGGGCGTGCAGAAGGCAGCCGGTCAATGACTCTCTCATCATTAATACTTCTCTTTCTCTCTCTCTCTTCCTCTCTGAAATCAATAAAAAATATTTTTTTAAAAAAGAGTTATACGTTTTATTTTTATTTCTTTTTGTATTTTTCATGGATTTCAGAGAGGGAGAGAGAGAGAGAGAAACATCAGTGATGAGAAGAATCATGGGCTGCCTCCTGCACACACCCCCACTGGGGATCGAGCCTGCAGCCCGGGCATGTGCCCTTGACCGGAATCAAACCTGGACCCTTCAGTCCGCAGGCCGACGCTCTATCCACTGAGCCACACTGGCCGGGGCCCGGCTGCGTTGTTTTCAAAGCTCCCCAGGTATCGCTGGCCTGTAGCCAAGGCTCGGGACACCTGCTGGGAGTGGCAGAGGCGTGGGAGGCAGCGGAGACTCTGGCCGCCCGTGGGCCCCGAAGCTGGGCAGAGGCGTCACCCAGCACGCTGGCCATTCTGAGCTGGCAGTGACCACAGGCCACTCCGGCCACCGCTCCTCCCGCTGTGCATGTGGAAAGAACGGAAAGGGACGTCCCCCCGACCCCCCGGGATTGCTGGGTCAGCTCCCAGGTCCATGGGTGGCCCTCTGCCCACCGGGCCTGGGTGGCGTGGGCACCAGCAGCACCCGGGGCCGGAGCCCAGGGTGGGGGGGAGTGCGGGGGCGGGAGTTGTAAGTGGGTGAGTGATCACTGCAGAGGCGATGACCCTTAGGTGGGGCTGCGAGCAGGTGAGTCATGACGGGAGTGATGTCATCTGGGGACATGACCCAATCGGCGCCACCTCTCGGGAACCCCGTGGGCCGTGAACCTGCCTGTGGAGCCCAGAAGTGGCCCTCCTGTGGGCTTGGAGCAGGGGGGGCCTTGTGGGGCGACGCCCTGGCGAGGGGTCTGGGAGCAGAGCTACAGAAAGCCACGGGGTGTGGCTTTAGGACTCAGCCTGGGAGGGAGGGACTGCCCTCTGACGTAGACAGTCCCCAGGAGTGGGGACCGTGCTGTGGGGTGAGCCGTTCTCGTCCTCATAGGCGCTCCGATGGGGGTCCGGGTGGGCTGGCCCGGCAGATGTGGGGCGGCGTGGGGTGGCCGTGGCTTGCACCGGGCCCCCGTGCTGGCCTGTGCTCTCCACCCTGTCACATCCCCACGGACAGGCGTCTGAGGGACTGTTCCTGACGGCAAAACACTAGCATTCGGGGTCCGCCTGTCTGTGATGGCTCAGGGCCCCTCCCGGGATAAGGAGCATGTGTCCCAGGCGGCATTCGGAAGCCCAGTCTCATGTTGTCTGGGCCCAGCGGCTGTCCGTCCCCTCCGCGCCCTGGGGTCTGTGGCCAGGCGGTTGTGAAGGTGAGGTCCGTGTGCCTGAGGTCCCTGTTTGGTGCCTGCAGGTGGCAGATGGTGGCAGCTGGGTCCCTGCTGGGACAGGGGGGATGTAGTCGGCCCTTCAGCGTGCCCTGTCCCCCCGACACCCCCGTCTCTGACACAGGCCGCCTCTCTCACACACAGATACGTCCTTCGGAACGCCGCCTGGCTATGGCTGCGCCGCAGACCAGGCGGAGGAGCAGCGCCGACACCAGGACGGACTGCCCTACATCGATGACTCGCCCTCCTCCTCGCCCCACCTGGGCAGCAAGGGCAGGGGCAGCCGGGATGCGCTGGCCTCGGGCGCCCTGGAGTCCGCCAAAGCGGTGAGTCCCAGGCAGCGGGCAGCTGTCCTTGTCCCAGAGGCTCCGGAAGCCCAGCCCCTCTGCTCAGGGGCAGGGGACCAGCAAGTGATGGAGCAGCCAAGGTCGGATGTCGGTCGTTAAAACTCCTTTCTCTCCCCTTCATCGGGCACAGGGACCGCCTGCTGGTGCAGGGCGCTGTCAGCCCGGCGTGGAGGAGGCAGGCAGCTCATGCTGGGACCTGTGGGGGCGGCCCCCGCATGGGTGCTGAGCAGGAGAGACGCCCACAAATGCACTTGCTCCCTCTTACCAGAGGGGGTGCTGACGACCCCACCCATTTGACCACAGTTTTTTAAAAAATATATATTTTTATTGATGTCAGAGAGGAAGGGAGAGGGAAAGAGAGAGAAACATCAGTGATGAGAGAGAATCATGGATCGGCTGCCTCCTGCACGCCCCCCACTGGGGATCGAGCCTGCGACCAGGCCATGTGCCCTGATGAGGAATCGAACCCTGACCTCCGGGTCCATAGGTGGAGGCTCAACCACTGAGCCACACCGACCGGGCCCTTCCTTTGTGTGAAGACCCCTGCCCCTGGGGCAGATTGCACCTCTGTCTTTCTGGTCCCAACGCCCCTGATGGCAGGGCCCTCCCCCTGTGCTTAGCTTGTTTCTGGGTGATTTCCACCCCAGGATTAAATACGGAGGAGTCTGCTCTTCCTGCCGCTTCTCTGGGCTGGCGCCTCTGCTGCAAGAGGTTTCCTTCTTACGCTTTTGTGATTTCTAAAGACCTCGGCCCGAGGCCTGTGCCGAAACCTGCACACGGGAGGGGGAACAGTGTGTGGCACACACCTGCCTGTGCGGCTTCTTACCCAGCGTCCAATTGCACCATTTTACACTTAGCCAAGGTTCAGAGAGGTGAAGCAACTGGCTCGAGGCCACACAGCGATCGGATTGGAAGCCTTCCTGAGCCTTTCCCTCGGCTTCCTACAGGCAAAGACCCTCAGGGGCCTGAGTGGGCAGGTGGAGTCCTGAGCCCGGGAGGACCCCTGCCTGTCCCCCCACCGCCCCCGAGGGCTCTCTCTCCCTGACAGGACCTCCCTCCACCTTCAGGTCCCTTGAGGAGACTCTCCCTAAGCCCCAGGCCCTGTGCGACGTGGCCACCCCGCCCCCGCCCCAGACTCCTGCCCTAGGACCCTCACCTGCACTGACCGGCCCGCGTGGAGTTCTAGATCCGTCCACCGTGGGTTTGCTGGCTCAGGAATCGTCATGCAGCACTTACTGCTGGCGCAGGGAGTGTCAGCATCAGGCACAGAGTGTCCCGAGGCCCTGCCCGAGGAGCCCCGCCCAGTGTGCTCAGGGAGGCGGCTGGGTGTGACGCCTGGGTGTCCTTTCCCAGGGTGGCTCTCGGCCAAGATCTTAATGGCTGGTTCCTGCACAGGCATGTGCAAACTCACACACATGCATGTGCACACTCGCACACATACACGTTCATACATACTCACACACACGCATGTGCACACTCGCACACGCACGTTCAATGCACGTTCATACATGCATACACATGTGTGCACACTCACACAATGCACGTTCATACATGCATACACGTGCGCACGCACACATGCAAGCACACACATACATGCACCTAGCTCATGTACACTTACAAGATGCCACAAAGCAAGCTGGCAGTCCAGGAAGGCTCTTTGTTTTTTGTTGTTGCTTTTTCATATATTTTTATTGATTTCACAGAGGAAGGGAGAGGGAGAGAGAGATAGAAACATCAATGATGTGAGAGAATCATGGATCGGTTGCCTCCTGCACGCCCCCTACTGGGGATCGAGCCTGCAATCCAGGCACGTGCCCTTGACCAGAATCGAACCCAGGACCCTTCAGTCCTCAGGCCGGCGCTCTATCCATTGAGCCACACTGGTTAGGGCCCGGAAGGCTCTGGATGCCTCCAGGGCAGTGAGGATGTGATACAAGCCCCAGGGATACAGGAAGCGGAAGTAGATGGGACGCAGGGACCAGGCCCCTTCCCCATTCACACCCAGGCTCGGGGCTAAAGGAGCTCACCTGGTTGGCCCAGCTCTGCAGCCCCTTCCCGCACTCCTGGCCCTGGGTGCGTCCTGCCGTCTTCACCACAAGGCACCTCCCTCCCACCAGGCCAGGAAGGGTGAATGGCCATTAGGGCTGGGGACACAGGGAAGCCACACTGCTGGTCCTGATTCCGGGTTCTGGTGACACCGGGGGCCCTTGAAACCAGCATTTCTCACCTTAGCCCGTTTGGCTCAGTGGATAGAGTGTCGGTCAGCGGACTGATCCAGGTTCGATTCCAGTCAGGAGCACGTACCTTGGTTGCAGGCTTGATCCCCGGTCCTAGTCGGGGCATGTGCAGGAGGCAACCAATCTATGTGTCTCTCTCACATCGATGTTTCTCTCTCTCTCCTTCCCCTTTCCACTCTCTCCAAAAATCAATGGAAAGGCATCCTCCGGTGAGGATTAACCCACTGGGAAAAAAAAAGCAGCACTTCTCCCCTGGGGTGGATTGGGCCCCGGGGGCGTGTGGCAGCAGCTGCAGCTCCTTGCTGTGTGCTGCTCCTCGCACATGTTGAATACAGGCCAGAGATGCTGCTCAGCACCCTGCAAGGCACACAGTGGCCCCAGTTCCCAACCGAGGTCCTCCAGCCCCCGATGTCAGGGGTGCTGGGGGCCAGGAGCCTGCCCCTCATCCGGGGTCTCCCTGGGAGGTTTGGGGAGGTGAGTGACGAAGGGGCGGTGTTTTCCCTCCACGCCCACGGGCTGCCACGGCAGAGGTTGTCCCGTGCTCCCCTGTGGGCTGAGAAACCTGGTGGTGGAACAGGCAGGCCATCGGGTCACCTTCCCTGAACACGGGGCCCGGCCCCTCTTGGGCGTGGCCAGCCTCCAGCACCAGCTCTGCCACACCCCGTCCATCCCGGTCAGGGAGCCAGCTGGGCCGGTGGCCAGGCAGTCACGAGGCAGTTGTCATGGCCTTTAGCATCATCACCGTCTGTCTGAGCTCCCTGGGGCGGCCATAACCGAGCGCCACGGAGCGGGGAGCCTAAGCCACAGAGATTTACTGCTCCTGCTTCTGGAGTCGGGACGTCCAGGGTCACGGTGCCGGCCGGGCTGGTTTCTCCCAAGGCCTCTCGCTGGCTGAGCCACGGCTGCCTTCTCCCTGTGTGTCTGCACCTCAGTCTCCTTCTCCACACATCCAGACGCTGACATTCAGCTCATGTTCGCCGCAGGTGCGCTGCGTGACTCGATATGGGTGTGCACTGAAGTGGTGATCCGTCCCGGTGACATCCATCGCCTCACACCGTTACAGATTTTTTTTTTTTTGATGCAAACTTTGAAAAGCTGCTCTCTTGGCAACTTTCACACAGATAAACAGTATTATTATTTTCTTATATATATATTTTATTGATTTTTTTACAGAGAGGAAGGGAGAGGGATAGAGAGTTAGAAACATCGATGAGAGAGAAACATCGATCAGCTGCCTCCTGCACACCCCCCACTGGGGATGCACCCACAACCAAGGTACATGCCCTTGACCGGAATCGAACCTGGGACCCTTCGGTCCTCAGGCGGACGCTCTATCCACTGAGCCACACCGGTCAGGGTGGCAAACAGTATTATTAACGGCAGTCCCGTGCTGTACAATACACCCCCAGGACAGGACTTCTTTCTTTTATGACTGGGACCACCTGACGTCTTCTTGTCAGGGCACCGGTCACTGTGGCTTCGGGCCACTGCAAAGGCCTCGCTGGACCGTGATCGTTAAAGACCCGGACTCTACGTGCAACCGTGGTGTTAGCACAGCTGGGACTGGAATCTGTTTCTCCGGCTGTGTGGGCTCTGTCTGCCCCCGACCCCGGCGTCCAGTGGCGTGAGCTCTGGCTTCTGGAGGCAAAGGCGGTCGAGCTGTATTGATTGGAGGGGAGGGGATCCTGTAGCCCACCCATGAGGGGGTCCCTGCCCACAGAATCAGAACAGCAGGCTCGAGAGGCAAAGGTCCTGAGCCCTGGGAGCACCCTAGGGGTTCCCCGGGGCAGGTGGCAGCAGCCCCCAGCTCCGCCCCGAGGCCAGGAGGGAGGGTGTGTGGCAGGAGGCAGCACAGGACTGCCCGGCCCTTCGGTCCAAGGGTCAGGTGATAGCGGCAGATTCCAGGCAGGGAGTGACAGCGGCAGAGGGAGCTGGGGTGGCCGTGTGGCAGGTCCCGACGCCCCTCGGCTCAGCCTCTCCTGGGACCACCGCTCCTCGGTTGCAGGAGGAAGGCCTGGCCCGGCTGGCTCGGCTCCAAGCTCCCCAATGTCAAGACCAGCGGTGGCTCTCGGCTTGGCGGTGACCACGAGTGAGTGGCCGACATGCCGGGGTGTCCGTGGTGCCCTCTGGTGCCACCCGGAGCTTCCTGGGAGGCTGGTCGAGGTGGACACACTGCCTCTCTGAGACGGGCCGCCTCCGGCACCACCTCGCAGATCTGACTTCTGTCTGCTTCGCCCGCAGACTGAGCTGGACCTGGAGAAGGGCTTGGAGATGAGAAAGTGGGTCCTGTCCGGCATCCTGGCGAGTGAGGAGACGTACCTCAGCCACCTGGAGGCGCTGCTGCTGGTGAGGCGGGTGCGGGGTGGGGGGGCTGGTGGGTGGGGCAGGGGCGCGGGGAGCTGTCGGCTCACATGGCCCGGGCCGAAGGTCAGCTGGCTGGGGCCGGGGGCACCCACCCTCCTGGGAGTCAGTGAGACACCTGAGACACCTGTGGGAGGGTCAGAGCAGGCCGCCTGGGTGGAGCCGGAGCTTCCCAGGGGCGGTGGATGGCAGCATAAGACAGGTGCCAACCCAAGCTGGCTTCACATGTTTATATTTCATGGAATTTAAATATATTTTTATTGATTTCAGAGAGGAAGAGAGAGGGAGAGAGCTAGAAACATCAATGAGGAGAGAGAATCATGGATCGGCTGCCTCCTGAACGCCCCCCACTGGGGATCGAGCCACAACCCGGGCCTGTGCCCTGACCGGGAATCGAACCATGACCTCCTGGTTCATAGGTCGACGCTCAACCACTGAGCCATGCCGGCCAGGCTATATGTCATAGAATTTAAAAATAATAGCACAGAGCCCTAGCTGGTGTGGCTCAGTGGATAGAGCGTTGGCCTATAGACCAAAGGGTCCCGGGTTGGATTCCAGTTAAGGGCACGTACCTTAGTTACAGGCTCCTCCCCAGCCTGGGCCCTGGTCAGGGTGTGTGCAGGAGGCAACCCATCGATGTGTCTCTCTCACATCAATGTTTCATTCTGTCTTACCCTCTCTCTTCCACTCTCTCTAAAAATCGATGGAAAAATACCCTCAGGTGAGGATTTAAAAATAATAAATAAATACAAGCACATATGTCACATGACCAAGATCATCTGTGGCCATCCCATGCCCCTGGCCCACGGCGAGCCCTTTCATGGTGGCCCCTCACCTGTGGCCGTGCGGCCTCACCTGTGCCCCCTGCAGCCCATGAAGCCTCTGAAGGCGGCGGCCACCACCTCCCAGCCGGTGCTGACCAGCCAGCAGATCGAGACCATCTTCTTCAAAGTGCCTGAGCTCTACGAGATCCACAAGGAGTTCTACGACGGGCTGTGCCCCCGCGTGCAGCAGTGGAGCCACCAGCAGCGCGTGGGCGACCTCTTCCAGAAGCTGGTGAGTGACGGGAGCCGGGAGGGAGCTCGGGGCTGCGGAGGCGGCAGGCGGGGGTGGGCCTCTCCAGGGACCTGCAGGTGGGTGCTAGTGGGGCTCGGGGGACACCAAGGTGACAGTTCAAGGAAGAGTCCGGGGTGGTGCCCGGCCGGGGTGGCTCAGTGGTTGAGCGTCGACCTATGGACATGCTGGGTTGCAGGCTCGATCCCCAGGAGGGGGCGTGCAAGAGGCAGCCGATCAATGAGTCTCTCATCATTGATGTTTCTATCTCTCTCTCCCTCTCCTTTCCTCTCTGATATCAATAAAAAATATATTTTTTATAAAAGGCTCTTGAATCACTTGCAGACTTTTTTGAAATATTTAAACATATTTTTTAAACTATATTTTTATTCATTTCAGAGAGGAAGGGAGAGGGAGAGAGAGATAGAAACACCAATGATGAGAGAGACTCATGGATTGGCTGCCTCCTGCACGCCCCCTACTGGGGATCGAGCCTGCAACCTGGGCACGTGCCCGTGACTGGAATCGAACCTGGGACCCTTTAGTCTGCAGGCCGACGCTCTATCCACTGAGCCACACCATCGAGGGTTTAAAATGTTTATTTATTGAGTTGAGAGAGACAGACAGACAGACAGAGAGAAACCGATCTGTTGCATTCATTGGTTGACTCTTGCATGTGCCCTGCTGTGGTGCTGGTATTCCACATGCTCTCTGTATGCACATCTCCCCCACGTTGGCCATGGTGTTCCTTCCGGCCACTCTCGTCCTCTGACGCAGGATCCAGTCCAGGGTCACAGATGTGCTTGGCTGTTGCGTCTCCTTCGTGTCCTTCCCTCTATCCAGTTCCTTGGCCTGGACGTCTCTCCCGTGACCTTGACTACTTTTTGGAAGGGGACAAGCCAGTCTGGGTCTGGGTGACGTTTGCTCAGGAATAGCTTGCACTGGGGATGGAGCCCACAACCTGGCCACGTGCCCTGACCGGGAATCAGACCGTGACCTCCTGGCGCGGATAGGTCACTGCTCAACCGCTGAGCCACGCCGGGCAGGCTTCACGTATTTACTTATCGGGTCTCTCCCGGAGCTGGCCGCACCGTGTCTGGGTGACTCATGCCTGTGGTGGCCGTGCCTGCAGCCGGGCCTCCTCTGGGTGGGAGGGGCTCAGGGACCCGCGGGGGAGGGAGAAGGGGGAGGAAGGAGGGCTCTGGGCCTGACCGTGGTACCGACGATGAGAACCTGGCCTTTGGGGGTGCAGTGACTTATCCGGGGTGATGGGCGTGGCGGGGGCCAGGCAGGGCCTCCCCTAGTTGCTGCTGCTCCTTGTGCGCCCCCACGCCCTCCATGCAGCCCCCACTGGGAGCGGGGCCAGGAGACCAGACAGTGCTGAGAGCGCCTGACTTACCCAGTGTCTGGATGGTCACCTGGAGAAACATAAAATTCACTGTAAACGCAAATGCATGTAGAAGTAAAGGTTCGGTTCTAACAGGACAGACCCCAGCATCAGGGGAAGCCTCAGGCAGCAGTGGGAGGCCCGGCCGATGGGTCCCCGGGGTCCGCCCGGACCCTCCCCGAGCCTAGGCTTCTGGTGCAACATGAAGGCTGGCTCCTCCCCGCACCTCTGCAGATGGCCCGGGGCTCCCGGACGGCGGTGGCTGCACACACGCTTCTCCCCATGGAAGGGGCTGCTCCGTGGAGTGTCTGAGCTGTGGGCTATGTGGGGAGACCCTCTGCTAATGTCTTTGGCTTGAAAAGGCCAAACAAAAGGCCTCTCGCCTTGCAGCCTGCAGCCTGCAGCCAGCAGGTCTCCCACTGCCAGGCGGGCACTGTGACGCCTGGGTCCCCTCGCCAGGTCTGGGCCGGGCTCATATCTGAGCAGTCGGAGCCCCTCCAAAGGCAGCCAGATGGCACGACCCTTATGTGTCTGCAGGGATCGGATGTGACTGGGGCCCTGGCCGGTGTGGCTCAGTGGATAGAGCATCGGCCTGCAGACCGAAGGGTCCCAGGTTCGATGCTGGACAAGGGCACCTATTTTGGTTGCAGGCTCCTCCCCAGCCTGGGCCCTGGTCGGGCTCTTGCAGGAGGCAACCCATCGATGTGTTTCTCTCGCATCGATGTTTCTCTCTGTCTCTCCCTCTCCCTTCCACTCTGTCTGAAAATCAATGGGAAAATATCCTCCGGTGAGGATTTAAAAAAAAAAAATACCGATGTGAACGGAGCATCGTACCCACCACAGGCTTGAGGGGCCGACCTCCTTGTCCACGTCCGTCTCCTGCAGCCAGAAGGGGCAGGTGCCACACCATCCCACCTGCGTGGAGACCTCTGTCTGCCTTCACCGACAGCCTTGAACTTCAGCTCTTGTCAGTGGCACCTTTTAAAGGCGTCGGGTGGGCGGACTGAGCAGCTGGGGCAGGGAGCCGTTACCTGCCCGGGGTGGGCCGTGAGTCACTGCTCGTGTCGCTGTCGCCGTGGGAGAGGGAAGCGGGCTCGGTGCGTGGGGCGGGGAGGCAGGTGGGAGGCCGCGGCGGGGGGAGCCGAGCCGTCTGCAGCTCTGCACCGCCTGGCACCTGGGGTTCCTCCAGAGCTGTGCACGGCAGCTCGGTTCTCAGCGAGATGGAGCGCCGCGGCGCCTGTCTCACCCCTGCCCCCCGCTCTCTGTCCTCCTCCCCACTGCAGGCCAGCCAGCTGGGCGTGTACCGGGCCTTTGTGGACAACTACAAAGTCGCCATAGAAATGGCCGAGAAGTGCTGCCAGGCCAACGCGCAGTTTGCAGAGATCTCCGAGGTAGGCGGGGGCTCTTCGGACAGGGCCCCTGCAGCCCCGCGGCTGGCCCCGCGCTGGGCGCTGGTCCCCGTGACCCAGGAGAACAAGGTGCACCAGGCCAGGGTTGGTCGTTCGCCTCAGCCGTTTCCAGGTGCCTCTGGGGGGGCACCGTCAGCCCTGCCCGTGCAGGGACCCTGTTGTGAGCAGACAAGAAGCGGCTGAGGTTCCAAATCCCCCCTGTCCCCCGGGGGCCAGGGCCCGATGCTAGGGTTCAGTCAGGCCCCTGCATAGATGCAGTGAGGGGGGTCCGCAGTTCTGCCCTTTTTAAAAAATATGTAAGTATTTTTATTGATTTCAGACAGGAAGGGAGAGAGAGAGAGAGAGGGAGAGAAGCATCAATGATGAGAGAGGATCATGGATCGGCTGCCTCCTGCACGCCCCACACTGGGGATCAAGCCCGAAACCTGGGCCTGTGCCCTTGACCAGAATGGAACCGTGACCTCCTGGTTCATAGGTCGATGCTCCACCGCTGAGCCACACCGGCTGGGGCCTCACTTTTGCTGTTGGAGCCGTCCCGCTCCTCGGAGCTCTGACTCGCCTTCCCCGACCACGTAAGGCTCGAGGGGGAAAGATCTGCATGTGAGGAAGGCGGCCTCCGAGAGAAGTGGGAACTAGAAACGGAGAGCGTCCGGCCTCCTGCTGGGCGACCATCGCGCCTGGACGTGCGCCACGGGCTCTGTGCCCTTGTATAACGTATCGCGGGAGGTGGCGTGTCCTAGGCCCTGGCACTCGCCGTCTCCTGCGGTGATAACATGGGCCACGTGTTCCTCTAGGCCCCGTGGGGCGCCCGCTCCCCGCCTGGCGCTGCTGGGCACGGGCTATACACCCCCCAGGGCGCCGGGCCGGCTCCAGACTCCCCTCCCCAGCTGCCCAGGTTTCGCCTGGCGCGTTCAGTCCCTTCTTCCCCTGAGCTCATTCAGTGACAAGCCCCACACACCCCTAACAGCTGGAATGTTGGCCCAGAATCCAGGGTGACCTTGACAAATTACAGACCTAATTCTCTAAGGGAGGCTGCGGTTCATTGGGCCAAGGTTAAGTCCACCTGGGCAGGTTGCTATAGAGGAGGGAAGAAACAGTGGTGGGACACCCCCGCCAGGGGTTATGGGGGTCCCACCAACCACACACAAGTGGGAATCTAAGCCAAGGCCAACAGCCAGCCCCCCATCAGGCTGGTACCACCGGGCGGCATTCGCTTTGGTTCTCCATCCACGTTTCAAAAAAGAGCAGAGCCTATCAATGAGGAGAGAGAATCACTGATCAGCTGCCTCCTGCACGCCCCACCCTGGGGATCGAGCCCGAAATCTGGGCCTGTGCCCTGACAGGGAGTCCAACCGTGACCTCCTGGTTCATAGGTCGACGCTCCACCACTGAGCCACGCCGGCCGGGCGCATGCCCTGTGTCGTATACTGTGGCCCAGGACCCCCGCCCTGGGCCCGCCGCATCTGGGGTTCCTTGCCGTGAGAAAGGGTGAGATGGCCACGGCAGGTTCCCCGACCCTGGGACTGCCCGCCACCTCGCCACTGCTGGTGCCGTCCCCCGTGAAAATGCGCCTTTTTTCTTTGCAGAACCTGAGAGCCAGAAGCAACAAGGATGGCAAGGACCAGGTGACCAAGAACTCCCTGGAAAGTGAGTTCTCGCACCGAGGCCTCTTCGTGCCCCTGAGGGGGCGGCCGCTGCGAGCAGACGGGGCATTTGCTGGGGAAGCGAAGGTGGTGCCCGCCTCGCCCTCTGGACTCCCCGCAGTGGTGTCGGGGACGAGGACAGAGGAGCGGGGCCTGGCGGGGGGGGGAGGAAGAGGGCAGGACAGCTTGCCACCAGCAGTCGCAAACAGGAAAAATGGTGGGCGTGAGCAGATACCCACAAACCAGGCGCTAAAAATGTCATGCTGCCCCCAGGAGCCCCAAAGGAGGGTTGTATTTTCCCTGCTTTCAGATGACAAAACACGTTTGGGACAAATGTCACCCACGCAGAACCCAGGCCCCGAGAGCTGCATAGAGGGTGCAGCCAGGGCGCCCGGACCTGCTCTCGGCCTCCTCCTCTCTCTGGGGAAAAGTGGTGTCAGGAGTGAGGGGTCACTTCTCCCTCCCTGTTGCTAGGGTAGCGGGAAGTCACACTTGCATCCCCCTGCTCAGCCTCAGTCTCCCTGTCTGTAAAATGGGGACAGCGATGCGCTCTGCACACAGGCTGAGGGAGGCACGGGCGGAGATCTGAGCCCTCGGGGCGGTGCTCACCGTGGGAAGCGGGGGCCCTGTGTCCACCGGTAAAGACGAGGGCCGTGTCAGCCCCTGAGTTGGCTCCTGCCGTTCTCACGATCCGGCCTCCAAACTGTGCAAGAGAGAGTGGCCTGCAGCCGGTTGGCTCCCGGGGGCCCCTGGCCTGGAGAGCAGGTCTCCCGCCAGGGTGGGGACCCCCGCTGGCCCGTCCTCACGGGGTGCTGGCCAGCTCCCCAACCCCAGGAGGACACTTAAGCGGTTTAGCGGTTGTCACTGAGTCAGCCACAGGGGCTCGGCTTCTGACGGCAGCTCTGGGCTCCACGTCCACGGCACAGACTGAACGCCCAACGCCGTGGACCCGGCCTTGCTGGTGCTCGAGGTCACTGAGCAGAGAGTGAGCTGGCCGCGAGGGTGAGCGAGTGAGGCGGGCGGCTCTCTCCACGGCGGCACCTCTCTCCCCGCAGCCCTGCTCTACAAGCCTGTGGACCGGGTGACGCGGAGCACGCTGGTCCTGCACGTGAGTCCCGCGCCCCGGCCTTCCCACCCGCCTCGCGGCCCCCGCTGTCCTCGGGCGGACACGGGTGTTTATGAGGGGCCCCCTGCTCCCCTTTCTCTGCTCCCTGCCTTCACTGGAGATGCAGGCATGAGGTGCCCCTGCCATCCTGGGCTCATGGGAGGTGGAGGGGGGATGTGGGGGAACAGCAGGCTCTCGGGGTGTCCTAGGTGCTCCCCTTGGAGCGGGGGCAGGGCGGGTCATCCCGTCTCCTGTGGGAACTGGGACTCCAGGTTGGTCAGTGTGGGCGCGACGGCGGGTGCGTTCCGGGGCCTGGAGGGTGGCCACCGCCTCCCAGCCTGGGGAGCCCCGCCTTGTAGGGCTGTCTCTGAAGGCGGTGGGAGCCCCTGAATGGGTTGTCTTTTTTTTTTAATGTTTTTATTGATTTCAAAGAGGAAGGGAGGGAGAGAGAGAGATGGAAACATCAGTGATGAGAGAAAATCAGGGATCGGCTGCCTCCTGCACGCACCCCACTGGGGATCGAGCCCGCAACCTGGGCATGTGCCCTGACTGGGAATCGAACTGTGACCTCCTGGTTCCTAGGTTGACACTCAAACCACTGAGTCACGCCAGCCAGGCAAGGGGTTGTCTTAATACTGAGAAGCAAAACCAGGAAACACACATGGCCCCTATGCCTACTGCCCGGAGATGCTGTTCACAGACTTAGAGCAAGTTGCACAGCCACTGAGCCTTGCACGCCGGGGCTGTGAGCTTTCGGACGGAGGGAGAGGAGACGAGGTTTCCAGTTTGGAAGGATCTGGCCCGTGGCTCGCCGGAGTCTCAGAGACCCCGCCTCGTGTCCCCTCACTGTGATGGTCAGGCCGCACCGCCCAGCGCCCTGGCGGGGCTGCCGGGAGCCTGTGGGCTGTCTGTGCAGAGGGCGCCTGGACTTGGGAGCGGAAGGGATTGTGTTTCTCTGACCAGGGAGCTGGTGACCTTGAGGGCGAGTCACGTGCGTCCCTGGTGGAGGAGGCCGGGCTGCGTCCTGAGGCTCTTATCTGCCAGAGGAGGAGCTGGGGGGCTGGGGGGGCTGTTTCCTCCTGACCTGGCACTGCCCGTGCTTCATGCTTCCGGGCCGGGACCGAGTCCGCCCCCTAGGGACGTGCTGCCGTGTCTGCAGACGTTTGTGGTTGTTAAACTGCAGATGAGGAGGTGCTGCTGGCATCCAGTGGGTGAGGCCGGGGAGGTGCCAACTCCCGCAGGACATGGTCTTAGAGACACAGAAAATCATCCGGCCCAGCCCGGCCAGCGTGGCTCAGTGGTTGAGCTTCGACCTATGAACCAGGTCACGGTTCGATTCCCAGTCAGGGCACAGGCCCGGGTTGTGGGCTCCATCCCCAGTGTGGGCCGTGCAGGAGGCATCCGATCCATGGTTCTCATCATTGATGTTTCTATCTCCCTCTCCTTCTTCCTCTCCCGCTCCCTCTCCCTCTCCCTCTCCCTTCTTGCAAATCAATAAAAATATTTTTTTAAAAAATCAGCCGTAGCCGGTTTGGCTCAGTGGATAGAGTGTCGACCTGCAGACTGAAGGGTTCCAGGTTCGATTTCAGTCAAGGGCACGTACCTCGGTTGCAGGCTTCTCTCCGGCCCAGGCCCTGGTCGGGGCGCGTGCAGGAGGCAACCCATCGATGTGTTTCTCTCACATCGATGTTTCTCTGTGTCTCTCCCTCTCCCTCCCACTCTCCCTAAAAATCAATGGAAAAATATCCTCGAGTGAAGATGAAAAAAAAAATAAAATCATTCGGCCCAGAGTGCCACCAGTGCCGAGGTGGAGGCAGCCTGCCCTGGACCCCGAGGGTGGGAGCCCCTCTTGGCAGCATGCGAGCCCCCGGATTGTGGGAGTTCTGTTGGGCCCTGCCTCCCGAGTGCCCGCCCAGCGCTGCCCTGAGGCCCGGGCCCGGGTGAGAGGCGGCAGCGAGGCCTGCAGAGCCCGTGTGCCCACAGAGGGCGGTGCCAAGGCCTTGCCAAGGCTGTCTGACTCGCGACCCCTCGCCCCGCTGCAGGACTTGCTGAAGCACACGCCCCCCAGCCACCCCGACCACCCCCTGCTGCAGGACGCCCTGCGCATCTCCCAGAACTTCCTGTCCAGCATCAACGAGGAGATCACGCCCCGCCGGCAGTCCATGACCGTGAAGAAAGGCGAGGTAAGCGTGGCCGCGGTGGAGGGGGGCGGGGTCCCCTCTGGTCCTCAGCGGACGGGCCCTGGACGGTTCAGTGGGACACAGGAAGTGCAGTGCCTTTTGGGGTCCCTGACCCTGGCGAGGTCCCACCCAGTCCCGTGTGCAGGGCGTCAGAGTGGAGTGTCACAGGCGCGTGCCTCACTCGGCCGCCTCTTTCTTTCTCCGTCACGGGGGGTATGTCCAGGGTACCCCTTCTGTGACCCACACTTTGCCAGCTCAGGGTCCCCGCTGAGGAGACGGGACAAGGAGGGTGGCCTATGGCCTGCCTGGAACCACCTAGTGTCTCCTGAGTGTTCTTTTATTCGAGAACAATTGTCGCTGGATTTAAGGACCTAAATGGGAGAGAAAGGGAGGCGTGTGTGGTGTGCATGTGTGGCATCCAGAGAATGTGTGTGACGTCTTCACCCGGACATGTTCT